GCTGGCCTCATCCCTGCTCACCGCCCGTAGCTGACACCCGCGGGGGCTTCTTCTCAAGTTTACTTCCCGCTCGGCCGGACCATGGCTCGAGGCTAGAGAGTTTGAAGCGTGGTCACCTTGTACTACACAGAGTTTGATGTGTACTATAGTATTAGACATTATTGTTCGTGCACAAGTTGCTTAGTGTTGAAAGTATGAAACTACCAATGAAATGACAGAGTGTATCTATTGTAGTTTGGAAGCCGCTACTTGCCACGATGGAATGGGATCTAAGCTATTTATGTTTATGTCGCACGTGCTAGAATACACTCTCGTGCCGGGGCTTCTCTCACTCTCATGTTTGATATGGGTGGATATTGGGAGTGAACTGAATTTTTGATGTCAATTTTCAGAAGGCATGATTTGGACCCCCCCCCCAATAGTTTACGATTCTGTATGTAGATCAGCGGTGAGCTTAAAACTTACCCTTTTTATTATGAAACATTATAATGTATTCCAACAGAAATATCAGGCCCCTCGAAACACCCATTTGGTAGATAATTGATCCTTTAGGCTGAGATCCATCCTTACTAGAAGCATCAGCATGAGCTCGGAAACTCCCTCATGCCACCATGAGGTCTTCAAGAGAGGCACGACGAGTCCAGGTCCCCAGCTCCAGATCGGGGCGCTGCACCGCCCAAGACAAAGGGCTCGCTTGAGCCACCCGCAGCTACACCTCTTGCCGCCCACACGACCAAGAGGTATAGCCACCACTGCCGTCATGGTGCCCGCCGGAGAGCAACCAGAATGTTCAGGCCCCTCGAAGCTCCCATTTGTTTGATAATTGGTCATTTAGGCCGAGATCCATCCTTACAAGAAGCATCAGCGTGTGTTGCTGTACCAATGAATTACAACGTCAAAATTATGCTCGCCTCATTGCACCATGAGATTTAGCAAATAGCTTGGATACTCTGATTAAACCAAGATATATTATTCTTCGAAAGAAAATCTGACATATTCTACAAGTTATTTGCTTGATTGTTAAGAGGGGCATACATATGCAACTGTTATCTTGATTTAATGTTGAAGGAACAACCTTTAGCACATACAACCATACTTCATGCACACAAGTAGACTAGGTCCTCATTGGTTTGCAAGCTGAACTAAACTATTTCGACAGGCCAATGACAGCCAAGATAAATAGAGCAAGATACCCAATTAAAGCTACAGACAGAGCATAGAACTGATGGGACGGTCCTGACTAACTACCGAAGCACTAACTCATCACCGCTACTCTCTCATATCATTCCATTTGGAATTACCAAAACATCACCCGAAAATATGCACCTCACCATATTTCTGCATATAGACCATATAGGGTCGAATAGTTCTCAAACGACAACATTGCCACCACATCGGGTTGTCATCACTTGCCCCTCCAACTTTCAGTTGGCCTCCATTTTTTCCTCAGGCGGTTTTAGTAGAAGTATGCAGAAAACCACCTGAAGGCAAGAAGCTCGTCCAGTCCAACCAAGCCAAACAGGAGCAGTCGCAGGAGAGCCACTTACCCAACGACGATGAACATGAACTTAGAGATGCACACCAACACGACATGATGATATCTAGCTTGTATAAGCAATATCAGAGACATCTCATCACAAAAACCTTGGGAAGGACTACTAAAACCATCAATTTCTTGTACGAACCATGGGACCAACATTATCAAACCCGAAACAGGTATCTCTACTAGTAAAGAGGAGTTGAGGAACATATACTGTACATTGGTTTCTTTCCTTGAATTATGTGAAGTGAAATTGGTTCTTTGAAATAAGTGAAATCATTTTTTGAGTTGATTGAAATCAGTACATTGAATTAACCAAAATCAATGATTATAAACTTGTGAAATCTCTTTCCTTGAAATGAGTGAAATATGTTGTTTAAAAATAGTGAAATCGGTTCTTTGAAATAATTGAAATTATTTTTTGAGTTGAGTGAAATCATTACTTGAATTAAGTGAAATCAATGATTCATAAACTAGTGTAGTGAAATCCTTTGTCTTTGAAATGAGTAAAATATGTTGTCTTAAAAAAGTGAAATCGGTGTTTTAAAACGAATGATATATGTATTTTTATACTAGTGAAATCGGTCTTTCTGAAAATGAGTGGAATTATTCTTGTTGAATTAAATGGAACAATTCTGTTGATGTGGGTGAAATCAATGTTTCTGAAATGAAATCAGTGTTCTGAATATTGAAATGAAATCAGTGTTTTTAATTAATGAATGAAATCTATTTTTTAAGAAAGGAGTGAAATATGTTTCATGAAATTTTTAAATCATCTAAAATATATTCAAATCTGATCTTGTTTTAACGATCTCGTCGCCCGGAATTCCAATCTTTAAAAAGATTTTTGAATAATCTTTTATTCAAAAGATATCAATGAATTAGTATTTCACAAGAAAAATGAAAAGCTAATTTTTCTATGGGTGGAGAGAGAGAGAATATGTGTGCATGCAGCACTCCGTCTTTCTCTACCTTTACCAGACGAAAAACTACTATCATAGACTTCTATCAGAGTGTATTGCAATGTATTTCTGCAGCTAAAAAATTGGTACCTTTATACTGCAACTCAGCACAACAATCTTGATGCGGAGACGAAGGGCAACGGATGTGCAGGTAGGTACTGGTGCTTTTAGAATTTCTGTTTTTTATGTCGATTGCTAGGTCTGTACAAAAGTTGAAAGTGGTACGTCTGCACAAAAGTAGAAAGTGCTTACTGTGGATAATGGATATATGGGACATGACCGTGGTGCGTGTAAAGTGGCATGATGCATCCATCGTCTTTCTTCTTCTCCTCCCTTTGTTTCTTTTTCAATGAAGATTATGTCCCAAAGAACTATATCATCCTGATCGGATATATGGGTTGTCACTAACCAAGACCACATGCTTCCACCGTATCTTTATTAACACATAAAGAGTATTTTCCTACGTGCCAATCTTTCGGGTAATGTGGACGGCCAAATTAAAATCGGGAGATACCCGAACCTGAGACTAGCATGTGATCCAGTGCTTCTTCCTCTTGACCTTTTGATACAACACTATTTAGAACTATAAAAAACACTGGTCGTGGTATGGGTATGGCAAGCACCAACGCTTGTCTATGGATGCCTCAAGCGAAATTACTTTTGAGTATGCATCTGTGTCGACACGGCACGAGGCTTCCACCGCCCCTCTCGCTCCTAGGATAATGCACCTTTGCCTTTTATGGGAGAGAGATTCCATCACCACGTGTGTAGTGTAGGGTCACAACGGGAAAGGATGTCCGAAATGTGATTTTGCCATGGGCTGATCATTGTGTAAATGGACTTTTCTCGTCAGCTAATCATGAGTGCGCATGGGTAGTGACAGGCCTGGCCGTCGCCGCCGTTGGTGTTGGAGCCCCGTCCAATCCGCGAGCTTATAAAACGGCTACTGGGGAGCCCCATTGTGCAAACCATCCATCTCAGATCAGGAGCAACCAAATCAAGGAAGAAGAGCGCAGCAAAATCGTGTTTAATCACTCACCAACGACCGATGGAGTGAAATATGTTTCATTAATTTTTTAAACACTTAAAATATATTCCAATTTGTTCTTGTTGTAACGATCTTGTAGCCCGGAATCCATGTATGTAGTAGTATTTTATAATAACTTTTATTCAAAAGATATCAATGAATTAGTATCTCACAAAAAAATGAAAAGCTAATTTTTCAATGGCCGGAGAGAGAGAGAGAGAGAGAGAGAGAGAGAATCTGTGTGCATGCAGCACTCCATCCTTCTCTACTTTACCATATGAAAAACTACTATAATGGAATCCTATTGGAGTGTATTGCAATGCATTCCTGCCGAAAATATTTGGTACCTTTATGCTGCAAGTCAGCACAACAAGTTTATGCAGAGACGAAGGGCAACAGATGTGTCAGAAGGTACTGGTGTCGTTAGAATTTCCGTTTTCTATGTCGACTGCTAGGTCTGTACAAAAGTTGAAAGTGCTAGGTCTGTACCCAAGTAGAAAGTGCTTACTGATGCTAGCTCAGGTTAACTGAACAATGGATAATGGATATATGGGCCATGACCATCATGCACGTAAAGTGCCACGATGCAGCCATCGACTTTCATCTTCTCCCCCCTTTGTTTCTTTTCCGATGAAGATTTTTCCCAAAGAACAATATCTTCATGATCGGATATATGAGTAGTCAGTAACCAAGAGCACATGGTTTCAACATGCCTTTATCAACACATAAAGAGTATCTGCCTACATGCCAATCTTTCCGGTAATGTGGACGGCCAAATTAAAGTCGGGGGATATCCGAACCTGAGCATGAGCACACGATCCAGTGCTTCTTCTCTTGGGACCGTTTGATACAATACTATTTAGAACTAAAAAGCACCGGCCGTGACATGGCAATCACCAACACTTGTCGATGGATGCCTCAAGCGAAATTTCGCTTGAGGCATTTTTATGTGTACTAAGATAAACATGGCCTTTGCAGTGCTTCTCTCTTGGGGCCAAAATATGGCAAGCACCACACCTGTCGATGGATGCCTCAAACAAAAATACTTCTATTTGTGGTACTATGCAACTGCCTGTGTCGACACGACACGAGGCCTCCACCGATCAACCCCTCTAGCTCCCTGGATGTCGTACCTTGGCTTTTTATGATGCCGCGTCGGTCTTTGACTGTAGATGTAGCTAGTGTAGGGTGCCGACATGTCTGAAATAGTAAGATTTTGTCATGGGCTAATCGTTGTGTAAAGTTGATTTTTCATGTCAGATACGAGTCGTGTGCTCGTGGGTGCTGGCGAGCCCAGCCGTCGTTACTGTCGGCGTTGGAACCCCGTCCACTGGGCAAGCTTATAAAACGGCTGCTGAGGAGCCACATTTGTGCAACCATAAGCTACCTAATCAAGAAAGAAGAGCAGCAGAGCCGTGTTTAATGAACCGTGAGCTCGATCCCTTCCTTGTCATCTCATCAAGGTCGACCAATGGCGTTTCTAGGAGGTTCATTGCGCATGACGAGGAGCATCGACAGTCAGAAGATGATGGAGAAGAAGAGCCACGGCGGGTCAGGGTCATGGCGTCAGGCGCCGGCGCCCGTGAGGCAGCTCTTCTGGAGAGTGAGGCGCGCCATGCTGAGGCCGAAGCGCCGTGCCCTGAGTTTCGGGTACGACCACAAGAGGTACTCCCAGAACTTCGATGACGGCCTCGTCACTGCCCACTGCCTCTAGCTAGCCACACCCGCAGGGTCTTCTACTTCTTCTTCTCAATTTTACTTGCCGCCTGGCCGGACCATCGCCCGAGGCTGGAGAGTTTGAAGCATCGTCACCTTGTGATCTGCTCCTCCTCTAGTTCAGCTACGAGTGTATATTAGACAGTACTGTTCATACATAAGTTGCTTACTGTTGAAAGTCTGAAACTGAGAATGAAATGACAGCGTAACTATGTGCTTTTGGCCCTGTTTGGTTCGGCTGTGGATTTCTAAAAGCAGCTGTGAAAAATCTGCTATGGAAAAATAGCTGTGTAAAATCTGATTTGAAAAAGATGTAGGTCATTTGGCAAACCAGCTGATATAGCTTTTTCAGATTTTGGCCCGCAGCGAATTCAGATTTTGGAAAGCACGTCCTGGGCTGCTTCCGCTTTTGGTTCAGATTTTGGCAGCGGATTTCTGGAATCAGATTCTGCTCGGTTCGCCCTTTGGTTCAGATTCTGCTGCGCGGCAGCGGAATCTCTCGATAAAGGCTGAACCAAACATGGCCTTTAAGTACATAGACTGCAAGCCGTGTCACTTGCCACAGTGGAATGGGATTTAAACTATTTCTATTTATGTCGTGCTATCTGTCATTTTATTTCTGTTTATGCTAGCGAAGATGGTGGGACCAAATATTTTTTATCAACTATTTTTTTAGATCTTACCGTTGTTAGAGTATCTACACCGGACCCCATACTAGTCCCAAACACCTGGACGGGCTGCCCAGTTAGAAAAAATGCACGCAATCGAGGTCCCATACCCGACCCAAACGCCCGGGCTGACCGGCAACCCCATAAACGTCGTGGTATGGGTATGGCAAGCACCAACGCTTGTCTATGGATGCCTCAAGCGAAATTACTTTTGAGTATGCATCTGTGTCGACACAGCACGAGGCTTCCACCGCCCCTCTCGCTCCTAGGATAATGCACCTTTGCCTTTTATGGGAGAGAGATTCCATCACCACGTGTGTAGTGTAGGGTCACAACGGGAAAAGATGTCCGAAATGTGATTTTGCCATGGGCTAATCGTTGTGTAAATGGACTTTTCTCGTCAGCTAATCATGAGTGCGCGTGGGTAGTGACGGGCCTGGCCGTCGTCGCCGTTGGTGTTGGAGCCCCGTCCAATCCGCGAGCTTATAAAACGGCTACTGGGGAGCCCCATTGTGCAAACCATCCATCTCAGATCAGGAGCAACCAAATCAAGGAAGAAGAGCGCAGCAAAACCGTGTTTAATCACTCACCAACGACCGATGGAGTTTCTGGGAGGATCATTGCGCGTGACGAGAAGCATTGGCAGCCGGAAGGGGATGAGCCACGGCGAGTTGGGGTCGTGGCTGCAGGCGCCGGCGCCCGTGAGGCAGCTCTTCTGGAGGGTGAGGCGCGCCGTGTTGCGGCCGAAGCGCCATGCCGTGAGTTTTGGGTATGATCTCAAGAGCTACTCCCAGAACTTCGACGATGGCCTCGTCCCTGCCCACCGCCTCTAGCAACACCCGCATCGTCTTCTTCTTCTTCTTCTTCTTCTTCTTCTTTTTCTTCTTCTTCTTTTCAATTCTACTTGCCGCCCGGCTGGAGCAGGCTCGAGGCTGGTGATTTGTTCCTCTAGCTCAGCTACTAGTGTATTAGTAAAAAAAATTGAGTTGGAAAATACCCAGTGTACTAGTATTAGAAAGTACTGTTCGTACACTAGTTGCTTAGTGTTGAAAGCCTGAAACTGCCAACGAAATGACAGTGTATCTATGTGCTTCTATGTAGTCTGCAAGCCGTCACTTGCCACAATGGAATGGGATTTCAGCAATTTATGTTTATGCCGCCCTAGAATACACTCTCAGCACCGGTGCTTCTCACGTTGTCGCCGTCATTTGATTCCCGAGATGAAACCAATGTAGTGTTAGTGTGTAGCTAAGCTGTTTGATATGCGTGCATATTGGGACTGAAATGGATTTGCGATGTTAATTTTCAGGAGGCAAGATTTGGAACCCTCCCTTATTTAAGTTTATTATTTTGTATGTGGATCAGCAATAAGATTAAAAGTTTTCCATTTGATTAATAAACATTATATGTATTCCAGGTGACCAGAATGTTCAGGCACCTCGAAACTCTCATTTGGTAGATAATGTATCATTTAGGCCAAAATCCATCCTTACTAGAAGCATCAGTGTGCGTTGCCGCGCCATTGAATTACGACGTCAAAGTTATGCTCGCCTCATTGCACCAAGAGATTTAGCAAATAGCTTGGAAATCTGATTGAACTAAGATATACTATTATTCTTTGAAAGAAAGTCTGACATATTAATTCTACAAGTTATTTGCTTGTTCGTTAAGAGGGGCATACACATGTAATTATTATCTTGAACCATGGGACCAACATTGCCAAAGCTAGAACAGGTACCTCTACTATTAAAGGGGTGTTGGTGGTGTCTTACTCTTAATTGGGTGGAATAAGTGAAATCGGTTCTTTGAAATAAGTTAATTTTTTTCGTTGAGTGAAATCAGTACTTTGAATTAAGTGAAACCAATGATTCATAAACTAGTGAGATCTTTTTTTTTTCTGAAATGAGTGAAGTATCTTGTTTGAAACGAGTGAAATCAGTATATCTGATAACGAGTTTATAATTTTTTGAAATGAGTGAAGTAAGCCTTTTGAAATGAGTGAAAACTTTTTCATTGAGTGAAAATATGTAGTTTTAAACTAGTGAACTCACTCTTTTTGAAAACAAGTGTAACTATTTTTTAATTAAATGAAATAATTCATTTGAAATGAGTGAAATCAATGTTTTTGAAATGAAATCGGTGTTTTTTTAATATTTCCATACTCTCTATTTTTAATTAATGAGTGGATCGAATCAGTTTTTAAGGAAGGACTGAAATATATTTCAGTAATTTTTAAAATCATTTAAATGTATTAAAATTTGATCTTGTTTTAAGATCTCGTTGTCGGGAATTCAAATATGTAAAACAATTTTAAAATAACTTTTTTATTCAGAAGATATCAATGAATTAGTATTTCACAAGAATAATGAAGCGTTGGTTTTTCTATGGTGAAGAGAGAGAATATGTGTGCATGCAACCATCTATCCTTCTCTACTTTTACCGAAAAGCTACTATCATGGACCCTTTCAGAATGTATTACAATGTATTCCTACAGAAAAATATTTGCTATCTTTATACCGCAAGTTAGCACAACAATCTTGATGCGGAGATGAAGGGCAACAGATGTGCCGATAGGCACGGGTGGATTTTCGCTTTCTATGCCGATTGCTAGGTCTGCACAAAAGTTGAAAGTGGTAGGTCTGTACAAAAGTAGGAAGTGCTTACTGCTGCTAGCTCAGCTTAACTGAACAATGGATAATGGATAGATAGGCCATGACCGTGGTGCGCGTAAAGAGTCATGATGCAGCCATCGTCTTTCATCTTCTCCTCTCTTTGTTTCTTTTCTGGTGAAGATTTGTTCCAAAGAACTACATCTTCATGATTGGATATATGGATCGTCACTAACCAAGACCACATGGTCCCAACATAGCTTTATTAACACATAAAGAGTATTTCCTATGTGCCAATTTTCCTGCTAATGTGGAAAACTAAATTAAAGTCGGGGGATATCTGAACCTGAGCACCAACACACGATCCAATGCTTCTTCTCTTGGGACCGTTTGATACAACATTATTTTAGAACTAAAAAGCACTGGTCGTGACATGGCAAGCACCAACACTTGTCTATGGATGCCTCAAGTGAAATTACTTTTGAGCATGGAACTGTTATGTCGACACGACACGAGGCCTATATCGACCTTCTTGCTCCTAGGAGAGCCACTTACCCAATGGCGATGAATATGAACTAAAAGATGCACACCAACACGACATGATGATATCTAGCTTGTATAAGCAATATCAGAGGCATCTCATCACAAAAGCCTTGGGAAAAATTGACTAAAACCTTTCATTTCCTATACAAACCATGGGACCAACATTACAAAAGCTAGAACAGGTGTCTCTACTATTAAAGAGGAGTTGGGGATTGTACATTGTACATTGGTATCTTTCTTTTAATTGTGTGAAATAAGTGAAATTGGTTCTTTGAAATAAGTGAAATTATTTTTTAAGTTGGTTGAAATCAGTACTTTGAATTCACCAAAACCAATGATTCATAAACTAGAGAAGTCTATTTTCTTTGAAATGATTCAAATATGTTGTTTAAAAATAGTGAAATCGGTTCTTTGAAGTAACTGAAAATATTTTTTGAGTTGATTCAAATCAGTACTTTGAATTACGTGAAATCAATGATTCATAAACTAGTGTGGTGAAATCTTTTTTCCTTGTAATGAGTGAAATATTGTGTATAAAGAAAGTGAAATTGTTCTCTCGGATAATGAGTGGATTTTTTTTGAGTTGAGTGAAATAAGTGAAATCGTGTTTTGAAATGAATGGAATATGTATTTTGATACTAGTGAAATCGGTCTTTTTGAAAATGAGTAAAATATTTTTGTTGAATTAAATCGAACTTTTTTAAAATGAGTGAAATCAATGTTTCTTAAATGTAATCAACGTTCTGAATATTCAAGTGAAATCTTTGTATTTAATCAATGAACGAAATCTATTTTTAACAAAGGAGTGAAATATGCTTAATGAATTTTTAAAACCATTTAAAATATATTGAAATTTTATCTTGTTTTAAGGATCTCGGCGCCCGGAATCGAGATATGTAAAAATATTTTATAATAATTTTTTATTCGAAAGTTATAAATGAATTAGTATCTCACAAGAAAAATGGAAAGCTAGTTTTTCAACTGGCAGAGAGAGAGAGAGAGAGAATCTGTGTGTGCATGCAGCACTCCGTCCTTCTCTACATTTACCAGATGAAAAACTACTACAATGGACCCCTATTGGATTCCAATGTATTCCTGCCGAAAATATTTGGTACCTTTATACTGCAAGTCAGTGCAACAATTTGATGCAGAGACGAAGGGCAACAAATGTGCCGGCAGGTACTGGTGCCCATATATTTCGCTTTCTATGTCGGTTGCTAGGTCTGTACAAAAGTTGAAAGTGCTACGTCTGTACCAAAGTAGAAAGTGCTTACTGCTGCTAGCTCAGCTTAACTAAACAATGGATAATGGATATATGGGCCACGACCGTCATGCACGTAAAGTGCCATGATGCAGCCATCGACTTTCTTTTTCTCCTCCCTTTGTTTCTTTTCCGATGAAGATTTGTCCCAAAGAACTATATCTTCGTGATCAGATATATGAGTTGTCAGTAACCAAGAGCACATGGTTTCAATATAGCTTTATGAACACATAAAGAGTATCTGCCTACATGAGTGCGGCGTTTTGGCTCCCAGGATCATCTGTCGCTGCGCTCAATAAAAAATTCCAAACAAATACTAGAAAAATTCAAAAAATTCCATTTTTTTGGCATGGTAGATAATTTGGTGCGTGATATCCGCTCCAAATTTCAAATCATTTGGAAATCTGAGTAGCTCTCGGCAAAAAAGACAAATTTAGGTTCTCTTAAATAGTGCATTGTTCATATATTGTTCTGACCCAATTTGTCCTTTTTGCTGAGAGCTACTAAAATGTCCAAATGCTTTGAAATTTGGAGCGCACCTCACGCACAACATTATCTACCTTGCACAAAAATTTGAAGTTTCCGATTTAGTTTTTGATTTTTTTTTTGATTTTTTATGATTTTTTTCTTGAGCGGGTGCAGATGAGCCCGGGCTGAGAATTGGATATTCGTGCCTACATGCCATTCTTTCCGGTAATGTGGACGGCCAAATTAAAGTCGGGGGATATCTGAACCTGAGCATCAGCGCACGATCCAGTGCTTCTTCTCTTGGGACCGTTTGATACAACACTATATAGAAGTAAAGAGCATTGGTCATGAAATGGCAAGCACCAACACTTGTTGATGGATGCCTCACATGAAATTACTACACTTATCCAGACCTGACTATATGATGTGTAGTGTAGGGTGGCAATGGCAAAAGATGCATTTTGCCACAGGCTCCCCTCTGTAAAGGGGATTTTGCTCGTCAGCTGTGAGTGTGCATGCTAGTGGTGGCGGGCCCGTCTGTCGTTCTGGTCGGCGTCGGAGCCCCACCCATTCGGCAAGCTTATAAAATGGTAGCCAAGGAGCCCCATTTCTGCAATTAGAAGCTACCTAATTAATCACAGCAGAGCGGTGCTTAATCGTATCAACCTTGACCTCCCATTCGCATCATATCATCAAGGTCGACCAATGGCGTTTCTGGGAGGATCATTGCGCGTGACGAAGAGCATTAGCAGCCGAAAGATGATGGAGGGGAAGAGCCAAGGCGGGTTAGGGTCGTGGCGGCAGGCGCCAGCAGCCATGAGGCAGCTCTTCTGGAGGGTGAGACGCGTCGTGCTGCGCCCGAAGCGCCGCACCGTGAGTTTCGGGTACGACCTCAAGAGCTACTCCCAGAACTTTGACGATGGCCTCGTCCCTGCCCACCGCCTCTAGTGACAAACACTCGTAGGGTCCTCTTCTTCTTCTTAATTTTACTTGCCGCCCGGCCGGACCATGGCTCGAGGCCGGAGTGTTTGAAGACGTCATCACCTTGTACTGCACAGAGTTTGAAGTGTACTATAGTATTAGACATTACTGTTCGTGCACAAGTTTCTTAGTGTTGAAAGTCTGAGACTACCAATGAAATGACAGTGTATCTACACTAATGTGCTTCCTTCTATGTAGTTTACAAGCCGTCACTTGCGACATTGGAATGGGATTTTAACTATTTCTGTTTATGTTGGGAGCGCTAGAGTATACTCTCTGACCGGGGCTTGTCTCGCTATATATAGCTATCATTTTATTCACAAGATGAAACCAATGTAGTATAACTAAGTTGTTTGATATATATGCGTCAATATTTGGAGTCAAGTGGATTTTCAATGTTAATTTTCAGGAGGCATGATTCGGAACCACCCTTCTAAAAGTTTATGATTTTGTAGGTAGATCAGCGGTGAGATTAAAATTTATCCGTTTGATTAAGAAACATTATAATGTATTCCACGTGATCAGAATGTTCAGGCCCCTTGAAACTCACATTTGTCAATAATTGATCGTTTTAGGTCGAGATCCTTATTAGAAGCATTGGCGTGCGTTGTTGCACTGTTGAATTACAACATCAAAGTTATGCTTGCCGTTACTTGCCACGAAGGGTTGGGATTTAAACTATTTATGTTTATGTTGCGCGTGCTAGAATTCACTCTCGCACCAGGGCTTCTCTCGCTCTCATGTTTGATATGGATCCATATTGGGAGTGAAATAAATTTCGATGTCAATTTTCAGGAAGCATGATTTGGACCCCCCCCCCCTAATAGCTTACGATTTTGTATGTAGATCGGGGGTGAGATTAACATGTACCCTTTTGATTAAGAAACATTATAATGTATTCCATGTGATCAGAATGTTCAGGCCCCTAGAAACTCCCATTTGGTAGGTAATTGATCGTTTAGGCCGAGATCCATCCTTACTAGAAGCATCAGCATGCGTGTTGCAACGTCAAAGTTATGCTCGCCTTAGGGCACAAAGAGATTTAGCAAATAGCTTGGAAATTCCGATTAAACTAAGATATACTATTCTTCGAAATAAACTCTGGCATACTCTACAAGTTATTATTACGAAAAAGGGTTCCCCCGCTATATATTATAAAGCACAACCACAACATCAAGCATCCGATACAAACGCACGCCACCCAGACCCAAGGCAAGATACACGAATGCCGGGCACCGACACACAACCTCAACGACACAAAGCATCTACAAGATGAGCACAAAAGGATCCGCTAAGAGCCGACGGAGACCACCACCAAGGAGCGATCGTCCGGGAGGAAGTGCGACACACACGCCGGACTGAGGACTCCAAGACGGTGCCTCCAGGAAGGGCACGAGCAAGAATGTCGCCACCGTCTGATCCGAAGATCAAGTTTTCACCCGGAGTAAGATGGAGGAAGAAGAAGCACCACGACGGAGCCTGCAAGGAGGAACACGACGTCCACGAACGCCATCACCGTCGACCAGAATGGGACTGGGTAGGTGATGTACCCCGGTGCTTCAGCTCCCCCGCCGCCACCCTAGTCCGCCAACACCCTTTCATTTCCTATACGAACCATGGGACCAACATTACAAAAGCTAGAACAGGTATCTCTACTATAAAGGAGAGTTGTAGATTGTGCATTGTACATTTTTCTTTCTTTTAGTTGTGTGAAATAAGATAAATTATTTTTTGAGCTACGTGAAATCAGTACTTTGAATTAAGTGAAATCAATGTAACACAAAGTAGTGAAATATATTTTTTCTTTGAATGAGTGAAATGTGTTGTTTAAAATGAGTGAAATCGGTCTATCTGATAATGAGTGAAATTATTATTTTTGAATTTAGTGATATAATTCTTTTCAAATGAGTGAAATAAGTGTTTTTAAATGCGTGACATATTTTTTAAAAAGAGTGAAATGTGTAGTTTTATATTAGTGAAATCGGTCTTTTTAAAAATGAGTGAAATTATTTTTGATGAATTAAATGAAATAAATTTTTTGAAATGAGTGAAATCTATGCTTTTGAACTGAAATCTGTGTTCTGAATATTTCCACACTCACAATTTTCAATTAATGAATGAGATCTATTTTCAAGAAAGGAGTGAAATATATTTTATGAACTTTTAAAATATATTCAAATATTATCTTGTTTTAAAGTTCCCGTTGCCTGTAAAAAGATTTTAGAATAACTTTTTATTCAAAAGATATCAATGAATTTGTATCTCAATAGAAAAATTAAAGGCTAGTTTTTCAATGGGTGGAGAGATAATCTGTGTGCATGTAGCACTCCGTCCTACTCTACTTTTATCAGGCAAAAAAACTACCATCAAGGACACATTCGGAGTGTATCACAATGTATTCCTGCAGCAAAATATTTGGTACCTTTATACTGCAAGTCATCACAGCAATCTTGGTGCGGTAACAAAGGGCAACAGATGTGACGGTAGGTACCAGTGCCGTTAGAATTTCCGCTATCTATGTTGATTGCTAGGTCTGTACAAAAGTTGTAAGTGCTAAGTCCGTATAAAAGTAGAAAGTGCTTACTGCTGCTAGGCCAGCTTAACAGAACAATGGATATATGGGCCACGACCATCGTGCGTGTAAAGCGTCACAATGCAGCCATCGTCTTTCTTCTTCTCCTCCCTTTGTTTCTTTTCTAATGAAGATTTGTCCCAAAGAACTATATCTTCATGATCGGATATATGGGTCGTCACTAACCAAGCCCACATGGTTCCAACGTAGCTTTATTAACACATAAAGAGTATTGCTCACGTGCCAATCTTTCTGGTAATGTGGACGGCCAAATTAAAGTCGGGCGATGCGATGCGATGCAGTGCTTCTTCTCTTGGGGCCTTTTGATACAACATTATTTAGACTAAAAGGAAAAGCACTGGTCATGGTATGCCAAGCACCAACACTTGTTCGATGGATGCCTCGAGCGAATTTACTTTTCTGTATGCAACTGCCTGTGTAAACACGGCACAAGGCCCACCAACTCTCTCGCTCCTTTTATGGGAGAGAGAAGTCATCGCCACGCTGATGCCGCGTCGGCCTTTGATTGTAGGGCGTGTAGTGTAGGGTGGCAACGGCAAAAGATGTCTCAAATGTGATTTTGCCATGGGCTAATCGTTGTGTAAAGTAGATTGTTCTCGTCAGCTGTGAGTGTGCGCGGTGGTGGTGGTCCCGGCCGTTGTCGACGGCGTCGATCGGAGCCCCGTTCATATGGTCGGCGAGCTTATAAAACGGCTTCTGAGGAGCCCCATTTTTGCAAACGGTGCATCCATCTGACCATCTCATGAAAGAAGAGCAGCAGAGCCGTGTTTAATCAACCGTGAGCTCCCGTCCGCATCATCTCATCAAGGTCGACTGATGGCGTTTCTGGGAGGATCGCTGCAAGTTGACAGCCGGAAGATGATGGAGGAGAAGAGGCGGAGCCACGACGGGTCGTGGCGGCAGGCGCCGGCGCCCGTGAGGCAGCTGTTCTGGAGGGTGAGGCGCGCCATGCTACGGCCGAAGCGCCGCGCCGTGAGTTTCGGGTACGACCTCAAGAGCTACTCCCAGAACTTCGACGACGGTCTCGTCCCTGCCCAGCGCCTCTAGCTAGCGACACCAGCAGGGTCCTTCTTCTTTTTGTTCTCAATTTTACTTGCCGCCCGGCCGGACCAAGGCTCGAGGCTGGACCTTGTGATTTGCTCCTCCTCTAGCTCAGCTACCAGTGCGCCCATAGTAGCCGGAAACGGGGAACGGTGGGCCGTCCCTCGATCCCGATTCATCGACCCGGAATCGGATTCGAGAACGAGGTCGGATTCAGTACGATTCGATGAAGATTCGGCGTCCCCGCAGCCTGCTCCCCGATTCAGGTTCAAGGATCCAAAAGCCAAAACGCGAGGCATAATTTACTCAGGCCGTCGTTTCTTTTCTCAAGGACTCCTCGTTCTTCCTCCAGTCCATTAATTGCAAGGGATCCATTAACAGCAAGGAATGCTGACCATCAGGGAGTCGTCGTTCTTCAGGAACTGCGTTCCTCGACCCATGGTACCGTACCGGGTTCATCGTACCCAAACGGATTGGATCGCGTCCCCGCTATAAAAAAAATCGTTCGAGAGATGTATACCCTCGTTGTACCCTATTTTTTTCAGCCACCGACTCTCGTCCCTTGTTCCCGTTCCTCGTTCCCACCGTACCGGAAACATGGCAACTATGAGTGCGCCAGTATTAGACAGTACTGTTCATACACAAGTTGCTTAGTGTTGGAAGTCTGAAAGTACCAATGAAATGACACAGTGTATCTAATGTGCTTCCTTCTATGTAGTCTGCAAGCCGTCACTTGCCACAATGGAATGGGATTTAAACTACTGTATTTCTGTTTATGTCCCACGCGCTGGATACACTCTCGCACTGGGGCTTCTCTCGCTGTCGTTGTCATTTTATTCTCGAGATGAAACCAGTGTAGTATTACTAATCTGTTTGATATGCATGCATATTGGGACTTGGGAGTGAAGTGGATTTTCGATGTCAATTTTCAGGAGGCATGTTTGGGAACCCCTTTTATAAAAGTTTACGATTTTGTATGTAGATCAGTGGTGAGACTAAAACTTATCCTTTCGATTAAGAAATATTATAATGTATTCCACGTGATCAGAATGTTCAGGCCCCTTGAAACTCCCATTTGGCAGATAATTGATCATTTAGGCCAAGATCCATCCTTACAAGAAGCATCAGCGTGCGTTGTTGTGCCGTGGAATTACAACACCAAGAGATTTAGCAAACAGCTGGGAAATTCCGATTAAACCAAGATATATTATTCTCCAAAAGAAAAGTCTGACATATTCTATAAGTTATTTGCTTGATTATTAAATTTATTGTTGCTCAATGTATTCAATGGCAGAAACAACAACCTTTAGCACATACAACCATACTTCACGCA